AAAAATACTTTACTAGACCTTTCTTAAAGCAGAGTTTTTCACCAAATCCACTTCATTTATTAAAAAGTATTCACTAAATGTTAGCTATGTTTCAGATAGTATGTTAGTCCCCTGGGGCTAAAATGACTAATAGGACACAGTATTTGACCTCCAGGGAAACAGACACAGAACCAAATAGTTGGAGAATTGCAGTGAGCAGAAGAACAGACATGTGACCTAGTGTTATGGAGATTCAGAAGATGTTTTTATAGTCTAAAAAAAAGTCAAGAAATACTTTTTTTTAAAAGTGTCCTTTGAGCTAAAAGCTTAAAGAATAAGCAGAGACTTTAGATTAAAAACTAGACCATTCCAATTAGAGGGAAAGGCAGTGCAAAGGCCTGGAAGTGCAAGAAGAAACTAATAACCGCTTGGATCAGTTGGAGGAAGGTGGGGGAGTTCTGGGAGAGGAGATAGAGATGGTAGTCAGGGCCCAAGTCAAGGAAGACCTTGCAAACCCTGCTGCAGAGCTTGCTCAATGATAGATAAAGCTTTTCTTTGTTCAGAGACTCACTGGAGAAGTGAATTCTTCGAGAGGGGTTACAATGGAGCAAAAACTCTAGGACGGGCCGGAGAGTGACATTACTGGTAACAATGTCTCTCTAGCACCCACTGTCCATGCAAGGCGGCCCACCCTATGGGCCTGAATATGCATATTCAGGCTCAAACAGTACTACTACGTGTGGCACATCAGTCTGTCATGTTTATTAATGAGAGCAGCCTTGCTGAATGCTCTGTCAGTATATATTACTCCTGATCACTCTGTTCCCCTACTGCAGCTAAAGTCACCTACCATGGTTCTAGGATTGCTCAGAACGTGAGCAGGAGAAGATGATGCCAGTGAGGATCTGGCTGCCTCCCTTCCTGTACAGCCCTTCCAGACCCCTCAGTTCTAGTTATAACACCTTCTCCAAATCATGCATACCCCACATATGAAATACCTACCATAGGCCAGAGCCTGAGCCAATGGCTGGTCCAGTAACATTCCTAATTCTCCTTGGCCATGCATCTACCCACATAGCACTTAAAATTCCTTGGAATTGCAGAACTCCATGAAGTCAGATTCCTTTCTATTTATTTGTGTATAAGTCTGTCTCCTGCATCAGGTCATGAGGTTCTTGAAATCACGAACCGTATTTTAGACATCTCTGCATCTACTGAGTTCCTTGCACAAGGTCTGGCACATCATAAGTGTTCAACAAATATTTGCTGAGTTGAAAATAATTGTGCAAGAGAGGTCAACCAGCGGAGCCATTGAGAAATTACTTTATTTCAACCCTTCAATGTTATATGTGAGCCTCCTACCTGAGCTGGACTGTGATTCCAAAATGGAGCACTGAATCCAAAGGAAATTAGGATTCCCAGACTTCCAATAGAGGGCAGTACCATTATAATATCAAGACATAATCTGATGTCTAATCACTGTTCTGTGATGGTAGAAAATGTGCCCCAGCTCAATAGACAGAAGGAAAACTGCAAAGAAAGCATTTATGGCTATAAACAGTTTTTCTTTATTCCTCATCTGGGTCCTGAGTCTTGTGATTTGGCTCCAATTTTTCATATGTGGCTGTTTGTTTCAGATAATAAAACTGTTCCTTTAAAATAACGGTGACTATATTGAATCTAAAAATAAATATCAAAAGATCAAAGTCCCTGAATGGGAGCAATTATTGCAAAAAGACCAGCCAAGCTCAAAACAGCTGTTAAGGGATCCTGGCCCAAGCAAGAGCAGCCTGGCCTCCTTGGCTGATCTGGAATCACATGGGCAGCCTGACAAACCAAAATTGAGAAACTTCTAAAACATGGAAAACACATACCCAGCAATAGTAATGGCCCTATGAAAACTGCTCATATTTGATTATTATTGGTCAGTGACTACTTCACAAAATGGATAGAAAATGAGCATTCAATGAGTGAGGGGGAAAAAAAAACAGAAGGAAGAGCTCCTTGTGAATTTCCAAGTAACACTAGGGATCAGTTTTGCTGTTAGATCTAATAAGTCCCAGTAAGGAAGCAAATGAGAAGTAAGCCAAGATGATATGGCTTTATTTCAATGCTCTCTTTGTTTGTTCCCTAATGCATTCAGAGAAAAAAACGTGTCAAAATCATTGAGCGAATTCCAAGTACAATACTTACCAGGAATTGCAGGCAGCTATTTCAGAAGTGCCTTCCTCCTCAAGATCCAGGCCTGGACAATTCAGAAACACAATGTTTATTTATTTTTCAAGAAGCTTTCTGTGTAAAGACAATTCTCAGGAAATGCAGTATTGATATGCATAGATTTTTCTTTCACTGAATATTTCAATATTTGTGTTGTTTAAGGGATACATTCCAACAGTAATTATTTGATCAAAAAATGTTAAGTATGTAATAAATTTTCTCATTTATTCAATAAGCATTTATTGAGCATGTACTACGTACCAGACACTGTACTGACACAGAAATGTCAGTTTCTGTACTTAAAAAGCACAAACTGGTGCAAGAGTTATAGGGAAATGGACAGCTGAGCAAGGTAACTTCTGTGATGCTGTAACACAGAGGACTGGCACTGAATCCAGCCTGGAAGGCAAGGGCTAGGATCAGAAAGAATTTCTGGAGATAATTGCAGATAAGTAGTAAAGGAAGAGGCATCCCTTAGCCAGGTGGATTTGCTAGAACCTGTGGAAAACACAACGTAACTACTGTCATCTACTTACCAACAACAAAAATAGAAACTAACATTGATCAAGCACTTCCTCTATGCCAGGCATTGAGCTAAGTACTTTGAACATTAGATCTTGTTGAGGAGACATTGTCAACAATATGAAACCATTGGATTCCAACCATGGTTGTGGCAGAAAAAATAATCCCACCCCCAGCCAAAGATGCTCATGTTCTTATCCCCTGGAACTTGTGAATGTGTTACCTTGGCACAATATGGTTATATGGCTTTGCAGATGAAATTAAGGTTAGAAAACTTGAAATAGGGCCCTGGATTATCCACAGACACACAATGTGATCATGGGCCCCTTAGAGGGGCAGAGGAGACAGAAGAGTCAGCTGCAGCCTAAGAGGGAAACAAAGAAAACATTCTAAGAATGAGAAGGACAAGAGCCACCACTGCTGGCTTTGAAGAAGGCGGGAGAGACCACAAGCCAAGCATGCATGTGGCCTTTATAAACAGAAAACAATCCCCAGCCACCAGCTGGGAGACCTCAATTCCACAACCACATGGAGCTCAACTCTACCAATGCCTTCAGTAAGTCTGAAAGTAGATAATCTCCTGAGCCTGCCAACACCTCGGTTCAACTTTGTGAGACCTGGCCAGAGAAACCAGCCAAGTCCACTGGACATTTGGATATGTGATAATAAATTTGTATTGTTTTAAGTGGCCAAGTGTATGGTAGTTTATGGCAATAACAGAAAAATAATACAATGGCACTCTCTGATTAAGTGGCAAAAATATTACCACTGCACCTACTATGCACGAAGAACTTTCCAAATATTATTGCCTTCGACTGGCATTATTCTCCCCATTTCACAGATGACAAAACAAATCACAAAAAAGTCAAAGAGTTTTTAGATAACTAAAGTCACAGCAAGTAACGTAGATTTGTGATTTGAGCCCAGGTCTATCGGATGCCAGCACTCCTGTTCTTGCTATGTTGCTACCAGGCAATTATGCTTTACATGTGTAGACTCTGGATCCAACGCGCTTCTCTGTGCATGAACTTAATTGAACCCTGCAACGGTATGTGAGGCAAACAGGGCAGAAATCATTTACCCCCTCTTATAAATGGGACACCCAAGCTCAACGTAAATTATGAGCTGCCTGTGGGCCAGGGTAAGCACACAGGTCTTCCAACTCCCAACTCCACCTGCTTTACCACCTTAGCAGTTCCAAGAGTGTCCATGAAGTACCCACCCCACATGTGAGCTCCATACAGTCAAGTTTGCTTTGAACATGTGGCCTGTTTACACAAAGCAATGGGAGTGGGCCACTGTTACAGAAAAAAAAAAAGATGATGGATCCCTGGGTGGGAAGTCAATACTTTAAGTGAAAACAAAACCTACAGCTATGCTGTGAGAGCTGTATGAGGGTTATTTGCTCCACTTAGGATGATAATTATCAGTGCATTCAGTAATATGGTGCAGAGAGCCACGTCTTTAGTGGCCTCCATGCCTGTATTAGAGACCAGCTGTGATGCTGTAAGTGCCCCATTTTTATTCAGTTATTTAATATCCAAGTTCCTAGAGGCATTTTGCACCTAGGGCTTATTTTTTAAATGAAACCTAATTTTGAGAAGACCCCAAAGACATCTGCTTTATATGTAATACAGTCCATTTACCAGAAGTCTTTCTGGAATGCCTCTCTGGGCCATTGCTAGGCAACGGCGATGAAGCATTAAAGAAGACAACACAGGTCCTGCCTTCATGGGGCTTACCCTCTGGTGATAAGAAAGTGAATATAATTGTATTTGAAGGATACTGAGAAGGCAAGAAACAGCATCTGAGATAGACTGGGAAGTGTCTATTTTAACGGTGCATGGGGACAGAGGCTCTAACCATGGGGATTAGGAAGTTTGGCACAATGAGGCTTCTGCTTTGCCCAACTCAGATAGCTTCCACACCTAATCATGCACATATGCTGGGCCTGTCAGTGTCAGGGTCTTAAACTATCAACAGATCTTCAATAGGCAGAGCCGGTGTTTCAGGGAGGTAGGGGAAGACAGAATAAATAAATCAGTTCCTACAAAATACACCTGATCTGCCCTCTACCCCTTACTGCATGCATTGGTACTGTTCACTTAACCTCTCTGTGCCTCAGCTTCTTCATAGGATTGTGTTGACATATATAAATTACTAAACGGTGTTTAGCATATAATAATAAGTGATGAATAGATATAAATCTTTCCTGAAACATTGTTATGGCTTAATATTAGCTTTCTTGAGGATATGTCTGCCCTGAAAAAAAAAAGTGTATATTCCCTCTACTAGGTCTACACTGTACTTGCACATCTCCATTATTACTCCCCCATTAAATGATGTTCATGTCTTTTGCCCACTCCGCTAAGGAGGAAGACATGGCTGACAGTGAGAATCATCCAAACTGAGACTGGCTATCTATCTGTAATCAAGATCCAGACAAATGTATGCCACTACGGTGAAGAGGAAGTCCTTGGAGCCCCAGTTGGCAGGAGGTACAGGCACCCATATCTGTGACTTCTGTGTCTGGCAGCAGACACTCTCATCGTACTGGACTACGGTCAGGCTCACTCCCTGGTGAGGGAAGCTGGCGAGAATAAGTAGCTGTCCCCATAGGCGAGTGGATCTGAGAATCCAATGGGGAATGCAAAGAGGATCTCAGAATAGCAAAATGGAAGGCCAAGGGGATGTGGCCCAGGACCTCAGGCACAGGCTCTCTGAATGTCACTGACACCTGGGAAATGTTGTGAGAGTTCAGGGGTCAGCATAACATGAGGTGCCCCATCCTAAGCCCATCCAATTGGAAAAGGAGAAATTTGAGGCCTCCCCCCAAAAAGGAATGGAGATGAGGGCTAGGCTGGCAGAGGACCAAGGGCCATCCAGTAGAGAGGGGTCTGGGGCCCACAGAAGCAGAAGGATGAGAAAGGAGGCCTCAGCACAGGGTGGGTGGAGTAGGAAGGGTTAAGGTAATCATTCTATAGAGGAAAAGAAGAAGGGAGAAAAAAGGATTTTCGTAATTGAACTATTCTAATTGACTGCTGACTCCACACTGTTCGGATCCACCAGGTAATTGCCCGAGTCTCCATTTCATTTCGTCTGTATCGCTGTAGCTGTAGCAGTTAGTTGGGGATGGGGAGGGAGGGTTTAGGAACTGATTAGGGGAAATTGCTCCTTGCAGGCCTTAAGTTATTCTTGTTAAAAATGATGCCAGGAAAATCATCATTAAAATGGGAACATGGTGAATAACAAGAGCCCCTTTCCTTGTATGTGAAATAAATTTTAACAGTTACCTTAGCTAAAGAACCCAACACATTCGACCTTCCAATAAGGGTTAGCAGAGTTTTCTATCAGAGAGAAATAGAAACTATAAATCAAATGTTTCATCTCTGAAGTCCAAGCCAGCTCCCGGGAGTAAAATTCCACTCTCCGACAGTCTTGCATTTTTTTCACTGGCTGGCTATCAGACTTCCTTGACTCTGGAACTATATGAATACTGTTTCTTCATCCTAAATCTGTGAAACAACCTTCAAGGGCTATAGTCTTGACTACTCATGACATACTATCCTAGATAAAGAAGCTGGTCAATAATAAACACCCCTGTGTGTGACATTGTATCAAGTGCATGTGGTTGAAATGGAGTTGGAAGGAAAGAGGGAGGGAATGGGGTGGGGTGGGGGAGAGTTGAGGAAGGCAGGTGGCAGGAAGCGTGCATGGTTAAATGTTCAAATTCATTTTAGAGAAGGGTTGATGTTGATAATCAGATTCTCCTGATTCAAGTACAATGAAAATTCATCTCTCCTGAGCCTGAATTTTCCCTGGTCTCCCCAAATTAACTATGGGGCTCAACAACACCTTCGCTAAGAGAGCTTCGGTCTTGAAGGAGACAGGCTTCTTACAGAAACTTCAGGTCTATTTTTCTGGGATGCTGTTAGCTAACTAAAAATGTGCTCAGAGCTATTTGGCTGACTGATACCCTCTTCTTGTTGAGAATGTAGAATTCTCCCTCAGCAGTTTGGGTCAAGGCAGAATAAAATATGCTCCGGTGGTCACAGTCACACTCCACAAACTCCCCAGAGACTCTTTCATTATCTTAATGGTCCTGTTGTAGACCTGCAGTGAGATCTCCAGGTGCAGTGTCGCCAGTGCCGTTGTGGGGAGCCGGGTCTCCGGATCTCTGGAGAGCACTGAGGCCTTTGCAGCAGGTAATTGAGTCCCGCTGATCAAGCCCAGCACCTTCCACGAGATAAGGGGTCCCAGGCTCCCTTGGTGCCCTCCCCTTCTCTCACACCCTTCCCTGGGTACCTAGTTTCAGGCTATGGGAAACTTCAAAATCACAGCAATTAAGCAGTTGAAAGTGCAGCATCTATTCCAGTTATTAAAGCTTACCTCCTTCCTAGGCAGCTACCCTTCCAGCTGCCATCCCTGGCCCTGTGCTGGGCTATCTTCAGTCCAAGCTCACAGAGGTCTCTTGGAAAATGACCTTGGAAATATGAAAATGTGACTGACACATTTCCACACTCATTCAGGCCAGACCTGTGGTTAATCTCTGGCGAAGTACACATCAAGTCTTCTGGCAGACGATGCCAGCCTCCCCATCTACAAATGCCTTGCCCCAGTGATTCTCGCCCCTAGATTCAATTAGAATTACCTGGTGGTTGGGGGGGGGGTCGGTTTCAAAGGGAAAAACCAACGCCCAGGCCCCGCCCCAGAGATTCTGGTTTGATTGGTCTGGAGTGAGGTCCAGCCTGGCAGCCTCGTGTTTCTAAACCTCCCCAGGTGATTCTTATGTACCGGCAAGGTAGACTATCAGGTCCTAATCCAAATTCTCTGGGTTGTGTTCCACAAGGATAGATGCCTGCTCCAAGTTAATACTTCACAATGTCGGTCTCACTTATTACTTGTTTTTCTGATTAAATTCTCAGAGGGGACGCCTGAGTTCAGAATCTGAAGGTCATTAGAGGTCCCCTCAATGTAGCAACTAGAATAAACATAGTCTATGTATTCAGATCGAGCAAATATTTGTTGAATGCCTATTATTATGGACCAGACACCGTGCTGGGAACTAAGACATGAGCGTGTCCATCAAACAGTTCCTCCATGTATTTTGTGCTCCTTTCTGCCACTTCAGATTTGGAAACTTGGTTTTCTGTTTCAAATTCAATCTCTCTCTTTTTCTCTCTCTCTCCCCGCTCCCATCTCCCTCTCAGCTTTTATATATGATGCATGTACCCAAATAAATTTACTTATAAATCGTACAGTTCATGTGCAGCAGTAGCTAATCTCCGACACATTCCTAAGGTTTAGGGTAATTAGAACACGAGAAAGCGCCCGTCCTGGGTAAGAACACGCCTCATGCTCTCCTCTTTCATGACTTTTTATCTCCTGGTCAAGTTTCTATTATATTTGCCTTGAGACTTAACTACCATTAAAAATTCAAGAAGCCCAAATAAAAGACTTTTTCTACTCTCTCTGCTCTGTCCTTTCAAGTGTTTCATTTTGACCCAGCTGTCAGGAAAAACACAATCCTGAAACTCCCCAGCCAGATTTCATAATTCTTGTGTACACCTGAACCCTTGAGGGAAAGGAAAGAAAATCCTGCTATGACAAACCAGAACCTGAAAGCCCAAAGATCTAGGACCACAGGAGTGGCCCCAATTCATCATTAATCACTCCGCCTCTGTGCTACTCTGCTCCCACCTTCCTTCCCCGTGGCTCCCTATTTCAATGATGTCTCCATCTGTCTTCCTGCTTGACTGAGGCTGATTACAGCCTGTGACTCATTCATTCCTGTACTCCCATGCTCCAACAGAGACTGTATATAAGAGCTCACGTGTTGAGCACTTACTAGTATGTCAGGCACTGTTCTAGATGCTTTCCACATGTTATCTCTGAATTTCACTCAACTCTGTGAGTTTAAAACCTTTATGATCCCGTTAGACAGATGACAAAACTGGAGTACAGAGTTTAAGCAACGTGCCCTCATTTACACAAGACTGAGGAGGCAGAATCCTGATTCAAAGCCAGGCCATCTAGCCAGAGATCCTATTCTCTTAGCCACTAATCTATGATGCTGAGACTTAGACAAATAAACACAGCTGTTTCCAAGGTTTTTATTGGTTAGAAGACAGCATAGCACTTACTAGCGATGTGACCTTAAAAAAATTACTAAACCGGCCCAGCGCGGTGGCTCACGCCTGTAATCCCAGCACTTTGGGAGGCCAAGGCAGGTGGATCACGAGGTCAACAGATAGAGACCATCCTGGTCAACATGGTGAAACCCCGTCTCTACTAAAAATGCAAAAAATTAGCTGGGCGTGGTGGCACGTGCCTGTAATCCCAGCTATTCAGGAGGCTGAGGCAGGAAAATTGCCTGAACCCAGAAGGCGGAGGTTGCGGTGAGCCGAGATGGCGCCATTGCACTCCAGCCTGGGTAACAAGAGCAAAACTCCGTCTAAAAAAGAAAAAATTACTTAACTGCTCTAAACTTCCTCTAGATCTAAAACTCTACTAGAAAATAAAAGTAAGAGCAGTGAGGATTACATTAGATGATGCCTACAATGTGCATGGCACAATGCTGGGCATTTACTAAATACTTTACAAAAGTTAGATGCTGCTGTTGCTGCTGCTGCTATTTGGTACGTGGGTACATTAGGAGCATCTCAAGTTACTCCCCAGTCTAAGTGGCCACTGCCTCCCTGTATAAGAGCAGTGGGTAGCAGCCACTAACTTTTTTAATAATTTTATTTAGATATAATTCACATATCATACCATTCACCCGTTAAAAATGTACAATGAATGTTTTTCAGTATATTTAGAGTTGTACAATCAATTTTAGAACCAATTTAGAGTTTAGAAACCAGTTTGGAGCCAAACTTAGAATCAATTCTGGGAGATTTTTTTTAATCACTCGGAAAAGAAACCCCACAGCCATTACTCCTCATTTGCCCCAAGCTGTCCTCCCTTCCACGCCCCTGACAACCACTAATCTATTTTCTGTATGTTCTGAACATTTCATATAAGGGGAGCCATATGATATGTGGCCTTTGTGAGTGACTTGTTTTGCTTAGCATGATGGTCTCTAAGTTCATCCAAGCCTAGTATGTGCCAATACTTCATTTCTTTTTATTGCTGAATAATATTCCGTGGTATGGATAGGCCTTATTTTATTTGGCCTTTTATTAGTTGATGGATATTTGAGTTGTTTCTCCTTTTGGGCTATTAATAATTCTGCATGCCTGTAATCCCAGTGCCTTGGGAGGCCAAGGCAGGAGGATCACATGAGGCCAGTAGTTAGATACCAGCCTAGGCAACATAGCAACACCCCATCTCCACAAAAAAGCACAAAAATCAGCTGAGCATGGTGGTACATGTCTGTAGTCCTAGGGACTCAGGAAGCTGAGGTCAGAAGATCCTGTGAGCCCAAGATCTTGAGGCTATAGTGAGATATGATTGCATCACTAAATTCCAGCCTGGGCAACAGAATGAGACACTGTCTTAAATAATGCTGCTATGAACATCTGCATACAAATCTTTGTGTGCACCTATGTTTTTAAATCTCTTGAGTATATACATGGGAGTAGAATTGCTAGATCATCTTGTAACTCTATGTCTCACCTTTTGAGGAGTTTTCAAATGGTTTTCCAAAGCAAAGAGCTATTAATCTTGCACTTTCTTCTAGGTGATCTGGAACCAAAGTCACTTAACTTCACTGAGCCTCAGTTTCCCCATCTGCAAAATGAGGATATTATGTACCAAAGGAGATATTTTCAGTACAGTGCCATCAACTGCCTGACACCAGCAGCTGCTTACACAAGTAGCATGAACTCTGCTGCCCCTGGCAGGTGGTGCTCCGCCCTTTCCTTCCTGTCCAGTTTGGATCAGAAATGAAAGGACAGTACCACGGAAGGCTTGAGCACAGCCTGAGGCAGGTGATAAAGTGCATCACTATGCAAAATCACACTACTTTTCTGGGTCCTGCCACCAGTCTCTAAAACCAAAATAAAATAAACTACTCTCAACTCAAGTGTATGTATACTCTCTTTCCTTCTACAAACTGGGCTTTTGCCCAGAAATCACAACAAGGAAAGGAAGAATCAATAATCCACGTTTTGTATGCTAATGTAATTTGGTAGAAAATGCACTACATCTATCAGAACTCCATTCTCCGATTGCCAGAGTTTCTTACCAGCCACATCTCCAGAAGGGCCTGCAAAAACAAGAGTCAGCAAAACCATCATCCCTGTGAGCCCAAGCAAAGTGTAAAAGTGTTAGCCCTTCGTGCCACCCCTGATGAAGGCCCCAGTTAGCATTTCTGTTTCTGGCAGAAACCACTGACGGTCAGTCAGTCCCAAATAACGATACTAAAGCTCTGCAAAAGGAAAGGGCTCCATTCTTAGGGGAGTTATTATTATTCAGGGTAAAAAATGTATATATTCCTTGGGCAGATTCATTTCACTGTAAAAGTTGTTTTCAGAGTTACTTTGCTAAATCTAGTGGGGGGTGGGGAAGACAGAACCAGAAAAAGTTGTGCTTGCCATATTTCACATTGCAAGGAATATTTTTGGTTTAGGGACAATAGGTAGGATGCTTGGAGAGACCTGTCCTAGCACATGGGAAAATATAAGAATGTCTAGCTTTAGTGCAAAGGCAGTAATACAACAGACTTGAGGATTCAAGACAAGCAAAGCTGCCGCACCACCCTGGCTCAGTGTGGGTGTGCAAGTCACACGTGAGCATGAAGCCATCGTCCCAGGCCTTCTTCCATAGACTCCAAATTCTGCCTCCCTCTGCAGTAATGCTAATTGTGGATAAAAAAAACCTGATCTTTTCTTTTCCTAAAGAATTAATCCAACCTATTAAAGAACCACAAGAAAAAAAAAAAGAAGAAAAACTTTCAACTTGAGATTGCAATGAAAAATTTCAGAGAAAAAAATACACACAGAATTTTGCTTACTATTAGCCATGGGAAAGTTAAGAGAAAACATGATAGTTAAATGACTAAAGACCACTTGGGATGTTCTTTATTTTAAAAAAAAAGTCACATAAACTGAGACTCATATCCTATTCCATTGTCTAAGTACCTGCTCATCACTGAATAAAAATACAGATAAAGACAGATAAAGACACTGGCAGTTCCCAAATGTAATAGTACTTGTTCTGAGGTTGAATTCCACATGAAGCACATGTGGCATAGAGCTCTTCAGCTACTAAAATACTAAAATGACCTCATTATAGGAATCAGCACCTGGGCTGTGGGGACGGGGCTGGATCCCAGCAAATACTACCAGCAGGGTCAGGAGAGGAGATCTAATCCTAGAACCAGAGAATATGTTCAGTGGCATTGAATGAAACCAGGTGGTGTGGTTTAGCTGTGTCCCCAGCCAAATCTTACCTTGAATTGTAGCTCCCATAATTCCCTAATGTTGTGGGAGGGACCCAGTGGGAGATAGTTGAATCGTGGGGGCAGTTCCCCCATACTGTTTTTGTGGTCATCGTGAATAAGGCTCATGAGATCTGATGGTTTTATAAGAGGAAACCCCTTTGGCTTGGCTCTGATTCTCTTCTGTTGTCTGCCGCCATGTAAGATGTGCCTTTCACTTCCTGCAATGATTGTGAGCCACATGGAACTGTGAGTCCATTAAACCTCTTTATAAATTGCCAGTATCAGGTATGTCTTTATCAGCAGTGTGAAAACGGACCAATACACCAGGGTATAGGGAGGGATGAATTTTTTGCTGGAATATTCCAGCTCTAAATCAGAAGAAAAAACACTGAAGTCATTTTCTATGTCTGACTGCTTTCTATAGCCTCTGAGGCTTTGTATCCTCTGCCGTGCCTTGGCCTTCTCCAGGCTAGCCTACTAATCCTTTAGTCTCTGCAAAGGCTGCTTCCTTAGCCTGTGTTCCCCAATTCCTAAGGCTGTATTATGTGACCCTATGTGCTTGGGCCACTCCCTGTGATCACCACTTAATGGAAATTGACTGTTTCCTCCTTCATCTCCCCTGCTAGACCATAAGTTCCTAGAAGGAAAGGGAAAGGATTCTCCTGTTCACAAGGTTATCCTCAGCACCAGCACAATGTGTGGCACATATGGGAACCCAGTAACTGTGCTGACTTGATTTAAGTCTCTAGCCAGATAGGGAAAAAATGGAGCATCTGGATCCAAGAGCAGAAACCCTGAAATAGCACACCAGTCAAGGTAAATCAGGTCAAGTACTGGGGGAGAAAGGGGGCCTAGAGGGACAGCCCTGGAGAAAAACATCTCAAGTGCAAGATTTTGCCCCTCCCCAGTCAATGACCATTGGCTCTTTCTTCTCAGAATCTGTGACTTCTTATTCCATCTTCAAGCAAAGAAGTCTTTCGTCTGCTACATTTGAAAAGTCAAAAGCCTTTTGTAATGATGAAGTATTAAATGAGAAGCATAGATCCTGAATATAGAGTAATAGAAAAACAGAAGTAGACACACCTGAGTTCAAACCCTGACTTTGCTACCAACTAGGCAAGAGGTAAGTCACTAATCTCTCTGCACCTCAGTTTTCTTATCTGCAAAACAGTGATAGTAATAGCTGCCATGTTCAGAGTTCTTATGTGATTATACAGCAATGTAAGTCATATATTTTGCACTCTGTGCAGTGATATTTCTTAGTGATAGATGCGTGTTTCAGCAACATTTACAGTTATGATTCTCAAATAGTTAACTAAATGTATTCCTGTTGTGAGGACAGGGGGAGAAAAGGGCATTTTTTTTTTTTTTTTTTTTTTTTTGAGACGAAGTCTCACTCTGTCTCCCAGGCTGGGGTACAGTGGCACGATCTCAGTTCACTGCAACCTCCGCCTCCTGGGTTCAAGCGATTCTCCTGCCTCAGCCTCCCAAGTAGCTGGGATTACAGGCACATGCCACCATGTCTAGCTAATTTTTATATTTTTAGTAGAGACGGGGCTTTGCCATGTTTGCCAGGCTGGTCTTGAACTCCTGACCTCAAGTGTTCTTCCCACCTTGACCTCCCAAAGTGCTGGGATTACAGGCGTGAGCCATCACACCTGGCCAAAACAGGCATTTCTTTAGCTGCTATACTCCTTCTGGTAGAAAGTAAATAAACTAAAATAAAAATAATTATACAGTCATCATATGGTAAATGAGGTGTTTCCTACTAAGAATGCATCTAGGGTTATTACAAAAAGAACGAAAGAGGCAGTAGGAAGTTCAAGAGTTTAACTGTGTTGTCCCAGAGGTCACCCAGAGCAGAAAACCTGGACCAATGAAGACCAACAAGCTTTTTTGTAGCAGTAGAAAAAAAGCAAAGATGGGCTTCCATTTTCTTCCTGTGCCTCAATGACTCCCCTTTCCTGAGCTGCCTGTTGCAAAATTATTTTACTCTCTGACAGGGAAACAAATACATGTGAAAAGAAAAAATCACTTATTAACCGTCCACCTCCAACTTCCAACTGTCAGCCACTCAAAGGACTAGATCCTGGCAACCAGAGGGTCCTCTGATTAATAGCTAAAGTGAAGGGTGTTCAGTTATAGGTTTGGGGGAAATATATTACTCTGCATATGAAAGGAAAACTATTGAGAGGTGCCTTGAGGAAAGATCTCAGCCTGAATTTCTTGTCATAAATACATACTGAGCATCTACTTCATATTAGGCATTGTCTGGATGGGATTCACATAGGATCCTTCAATGGAAGTCACAAACTAGACATCATGGCTGGTTTTTGTTCTTCAAATGGGGAAGCAGCCTTGGTGAAATGATTTCCTGAAGGTGAAACGATCATCTGTGGAGGCAATAGTGGAAATCGGTTTATATGAAGTTTATGCTTTTTCGGGTGACAAAGTTTGCATACGAGAGCTGAGCAGAAACGGGAAAAGACATTGATTTGTTTAGAGGAAGAATGGAGAGGGAATGGGAGAAGGTCATGGAGTATTCCTGAGAGGGCGAGGCATTTGAGAGCTGTCTAAGGGCCCAGCCAAGGGAGAGGAGAGGCTTCTGCGGAGATAAAAGGTTGGAAAGGACGTCTGCGCCTACAACAGAATTTTACCAAGTGCAATCTGGGTGAGATAGAAGCGACTGGAATCAGAGGACCTATGCTTTAGTCCCAACTCTGGTACATGCTGGCTGTTTAGCCTTAGTCGGAGGCGTCACCAGATCTCCCTGAGTTTTGCCATTTTCTCACTGTGAAATGGGCAACACAGACTTCACAGCAAGAATGAATTAATATCCTTGAAAGTGGCTGGAAGACTGCACAGGGACCTCTGGAGCGCAGCCTGTAGCAAAACTTCCCAATTGTTTCTCAACCCCCATCTCCACTTTGTCTGAGGCCCCACCACCTTTAGAAGACATGACTGATATGGGATTTGGTGGTTAGGTCCCATTATTACATCTTCCTATTTAGGATCCTTTCAAAACTAGACTTGACCATATCTATTTCCTTTCCTAGATAACAGAGACACCAGGTAAAGAGGAGATCAAGCACTCACACTGCAGACCTAATTGTCAAGTAACCCCTTTCCTAGCCCTGCTTTTGTGAAGTCATTGTCCCCTTTTGATTGAGCTTCCTTACTCTTAACTGAGAGAGTTGGAACTGAGGATATCTACAGTCTCTTGAAGACCGCTCCTGAGGCTGTCCCAACAGCCCATTGTTCCAGTACTTTCTATTGCCCAATTAGCAGCATTTATCCAACTTTTTTTGTCAGGTGTGTGCTTCTATTCCAGGCATTCTGAGCCAATTCTGCAAATCAAACTTCTTGGAAGACTCAAATGTTTTAACAATCTTCAAACATACATCAAGCAGACCATATTCCTTTATCTACCAACTTTGTACTTTTACTGAAAAAAAGAAAGAGGTACTGAGTCCATCTGGCATGATTTGCTTTGAATAAAAGCCCATCTGCTTATTATTTCTAATTTCATTGTCCTCTAGAATGTTTACAGAGCTTCTTTCAATATTTATTGTGCTGTGTTTCTAATTACTGATCCAGACCATCCATACAGACTTGGCGGTGGGGTGTGGGGCACTGGGCTAGGATGTAGGTGTCTTTCTCTTTTTCATCTCCACAATTCTTTACTCTGGAGGCACAATGTGGCCCTCGGCCGTCATTACAGAGCCCTGGTGTGATGCTGCAGTGGCGGATTCTGACAATCAACCTCTTTATCGTGAGTCTCCCTGGGGACTTGCAAAGCTGCCTCTGATGAATTTTTGCCACCTTGACACCATTATTGTCATAGGAAGGATGGAAATAATTACCTGACTTATTATCTTGAGGCTGGCTTCATCTGGGGGCCCCACGATCACTGGAAACAGAAGGCTCATCTCTGTCTTTGGGAGTCTTGAAGAGATGAGTAAAAGATTCACATTTCCCACATGATGGTGTCTTTGAAAAGCAAGGGATGGGATAGTCTCTGCAGCAAAAACAATTCCGATTTAGTCCTTTTCAAAATATGCCCCCAAAACCCAAGATGCTAAAACCGTTTAAAATTAAATCATTTTCTCCCCCAAATAAGTTCCCATTTCTAATTCCCCCAGTTCTGCTGGGATACTATATTTTTCTCATCTTGTGGCACCTTTTGTCATTCTTCACAATCGAGTAAGTCTCGTTCCTCCCTTTGTAGCATCTTAATGCCTTTCCCATCTGTCCCTGGCTTCCATTCTTACTCTATTGTCTAATTTCAGCCCCATCTCACATTGCCTATTCCTGCAGTACCTCCTATCCTTCAGTCTCTCCCCCTCCCCACCCACCATGCACATGCCTGCAGAACAATCCACCTGAACTGTCTTGATTTCACCACATCCCTCCTCAACAATGCTCCATGAGTGCCCTTTGCCTGCAGGATTAGCCTGCAAACCCTCGCTGACAGGAAGAGTCTCCACAGCCCAGCCTCACAGCCCCGTAGCTGGCTCTGCATCCAGCCATTGCCCTGAAATCCTCCTTCTGGCCCTGCACGGGGCACTCTGGGCCTCGGACTCTGTTTCTGCTCACAATGACTTCCCAAGCATGTGAAAAAGTTAAAAAAGGAAGAAAGAATCTGAGATGAATTCTTAGTGCAGATACCAAGGGGTTAAAAGTCCACTCTATGCTGCTTTTTTATGGAGAATGTCATAATCCACCTGATTCTAATACCCCCACCCCCAGATCCTGGAAAAGCATGCCTACTATGTAATCCATGAGTCAGGCCCCAGATCTCCCTGAGAAATTCAGAAGGAAGTTCTATTCAAAAAATAAAACAGGAAAGCAACAAACATTATATAGGAGGGTCAAAGGGTCTAGGTTAAAAAAATGGGCTTTGGAGTAAGTAGACTGGATTCAAGAGACTTTCTTATGCCATAACTTGGGCATGCTGCTTAGCCTTTCTGATACTGCTTTCTTATCAGTAAAATAGGGCAAATATCCCCCTTGCAGGGTTGATGTAAGAATTATAGTCAACATATGCAGAGCACCAGCACAGACCCTGGCACTTAGCCTCTCAGTCTGCTGTATTACTCCACTACCACCTCCAGCCCCGGTAGGTTCGATTCCACTGCAAGGGTTCTCACAGGGTTGGTCTCCTCCCTGCTGACTGCAGGTTCACTCTACCAGCCTTCTGCAGTCCTGTTGCAACTTCTAACTTGGACTAGAGAGTGCAATGGGAGCCACTCTCTGGCCAGTGATTACAGCTCTTCCTTTGAAGGTCACAGATCTGTAGCTATTCCCCAGGGCTTCCCCAGGACCCAGAGACCCCCAGATGGGGGAACTTCACTTCTCCTCAAAGAGTAACACTTCCTTACCAATCCTAGTGACCAGGTGCAGTCTTAAGGTCCCAGAGAGTGAGCAGCACTGACTTAGGACCATGACAGTCCATGAGAGGCAGGAAAGAATGATGGTTATGGCAGGTTAACCTTAACCTGAGCTCTTGAGTCAGACAGCCTGGAATTGCTCCTCCCTTTGCCATTTCTTAGCTGGGTGATCTTGCGTACACTGCTTACCTTCTCTGTGCCTTGGTTTCCTCATCTGTAATATGAAGACAATAACAGTACCTGCCTCATGGGATTTTTGAGATCAAATGAGTAATGCACATAAAGCACTTAGAATACTGCTTGACATACAGTAGGTACTCAGTAAGTGTTCGCTGTCATAATTAATGAATCAGGTCCTCAATTATTTAGGTCTCAGGCACCTCACAATCAGAATGATTGATTGAGACACTCTCTGTTTGCCCAGGGACTGTTTCAACACCCTGCTTGTTGTCACCACCACCATGTGCACATGTACACACACACACACCCCTCAGCAGTACTCACGTCAAGAGAAGAATCATTTCCAGGAGGCTTCAATAGCACCAATGCTCACCACCTCTTGAAGAAGCAAAGTCCCCAGCAGTATCCTAGACATGCTTTTCTCAGGGAATTACCTTCAATTCTCTCTACTGAGCAAAGGGAAGATCAGAGGGTCAGTGGAATCTTTTGGTCTAATCCTCTGTTGAGAGACCATTAAAAATGTGTCTTTTGGTCTAAAATGTCTGAAATGTCC